CCTTTCATCTATGATATGGATATGACTATGACTATGGAGATATATATATATAAGGTAATAAATGTACAATGAATGTTCCTTTGTTAGCCTTGTAGGAGAAAATGAATAATAGCAATGGTAATCACAACAGGATCACCACAACACAAGCTGTACTGCTGCTCACCTAGGTGTGCTGCTTCTTTCTCTTCCACTCTGTTTGGCTCCAGTGATGCTGGCCAGCTTCTTTAGTAAGACATAGCCAACAATGTTTATATGATAACCCACCTAACCAGGTCTCATTGAAGCAGTTGGCCAGTGTCATTGGACCCAAACAAAGCAATGTGGAATCGTTTACCAAGGCTAGGCTTCTTTTGATGGCACGAGGAGACTCTGCCAATCCTGTTCTTGATGGGCGACTGTAGTTGCACAAAGTGGTGGCAGTAATGAGAATGACCAATCTGCCCCCTATGCTATGTGGAGAAGGTAGAAGTTCGTTTCCTGCCTTGGAAGTGGAAGAGCTTCTGGTGCCCCACCTATATAATAGAGTCTCAGCCTATTCAAAGGAGTTAGTCTATTTGAAGGAATAGTCTTGTGTTTCTGAAATAGTATCTATTTCTTTCCTTAATAACATCTGGAAAATAAACTATAAATCAATGTAGAGTCACAGGGAAAAAAAGAGAACAAAGTAGCTCCTTGACTAATTAGCTAAGTGGCTTTTACATTCAACAGCTGAAGTAAATCTATCATCAGGTTATTGCAAGGTAATTCAGGAGGAGAAAGAAAAACTGCCCAAAGAGATCCAGATGTAATTTTCTTGTGCAATGTTCTTCCTTTTAAAGGCTTACTTCCTGTTGAACAGGAAGTAAGCCTCCGTGGCTTAACATTTTTACTTGTTTTTACTTTTTTTTCTTAAACAGAGAGATTGGAAATACATATGTTTTTACATAGAACTGTACATTTCAATTACATTTTTAAAAGTTTAACAGAGAAGTGAAAATGTTCTACAAAGGAGTCAAAATGTGCTGCAAAGCACAAGAAAAGCAGGTCCCTCAGATTCTTATTTTCAGGGGACATTTGCAGAAGATTTAGTTGCTTTGGAAGCTTATAGTGCAGTGGTTAAACTGTTGTACTACAGCCAAAACTCTGCTCTTGTTCTAGGTCCAATCCCAGGTAGCGGGCTTAAGGTTCACTCAGCCTTCTATTCTTCCAATGTTGGTAAATTGAGTACCTTCTATTCTTCCAACATTGGTAAATTGAGTTCATTGGTTACAGCAGCAGTCCCTGAGGAATTGGATCCAGTGCATCAGGAGACTGAAACGCCCCCGGATGTCCATCACTAATCCCTTTAGCAGCCGCTGAAGATTCCACCAGGAGTGGTAGTGGTTTTGGAGACCACACAGGTGTATGCCATTCCCTGTTTCCTTGCAACCTGAGGGAAAGGCAGAGCAATGTGTCCCTAATCTTGGTCATATGATGGCTTTTCTAGGTTGTTTTCATTAGGTCTCAGTTGCTCAGTAAAGACACCATAATGTGGGTTCTGTGGAAGTTTTGTGTGCAGCATGAATGGAAATCCCCAGTACCAAATCATGGAGTGCCTTTTGCTGCTCTAGCACTCTTTCATGGAGGCACAAAGTGGAGTTCCATTGAGTTGCCACATCCTGAATTAGGTGATGCAGTGGCACTCTTGATTTTACTTGCCTGTGTTGCGACAACCTGCTAACCTAGATCCCACACAAGATGAGGAAAACATGTACCGTAGTCCCACCCAAATCTATTGTCACTTTCAACCCATGAAAGTGACTGTCTAAAGAGGGCAAAGCTGCCATATCCAGGCTGGCCCTCCATGTGACTTAAAACTCTAGTGTTCTGGATCATATGCAGAAGCTACACAGAAAAAGGTTACATCATTAATTGTAATTAATGGAAATTAATTTAATTGTTAATTAATATCTCCTCTTCCCTTGTAGCCTCTGTACATGATCAGGAACCTCAGGGTTCTAGCTCACAGGGAAGGGCAACCTGGATATGGCAGCCTTCCCCTTTTTAGACAATCACTTCCATGTTTTGCAAGTGACAATAGATGTGGGTGGGACTAGCACGTCCTCCTCATCATGTGTGGGCTCCACACACTTGACAAACACCTGAAGGAAGGCTTTAATGTTTAGTATAAGAAGGGACAACTTGTATTGAACGCCATTGCCTGCCATGCAATGTTGGATCACAATTCCCATTAGCTCTACCTAGCACTGTGAATTCTGAGGGATCATGGGAACTGTGGTCCAATTAAATCTGCAAAGCCACAGGTTGTTCACCTCTAGTTTACTAGTATTGTTATGGCTGTTAAGCTGCTGAATTCTACCAGCCTGAGGAGAACAAATTACTGATTCAAGTGTTTCCTCTTAAAATACGTCTCTTCTACAGAAACTAACAACTAAGCAGTTCTTGTTACTTAGACTTCTACTTATTTCAATACATTTCTCAGTGTTGAACCAAGAAGTGAAAATGCTGATTCACTCATTTGTGAAGGAGTTCCTAAAACGCAGCTAATTCAAGATTCTTCTTTTCATATTTTCAAGGGGCATTTGTGGAAGAGTTGGTTGTCTCCAATGTCTGCCTTTTTGCTTCTAAATCTCATGCTTCTCATTCAGCCTGCTTTTCAAATACTAGGTAAGTTCTTCACTGTTAACATTAAGGCCATATATAGTGTCAACTGATTACTTTTCAATACTCTTTTGGAAATTAAGCTTGTACCTTAGATGCAGTGAACATATAAAATTACCGTATTTTTCCATGTACATGACTATACTTTTGTCTAAAATCTTTAAACTAAAAATTGAGGGTCATCTTGTGCACGGAATTAAGCTGAGGAGAGAACAAAAACAAGTGGAGGGGAAAGCAGGGATCAAAGCTATTCTGCAGCATTTCAATCCCGTCCCCCCTTTGCAAAGCCCCACTTAGATTTCTTAATTTTGGATTAGAAAAGTGGGGGAGCCTTATACATAGGGGCGTCTTATACACAGAAAAATACCATATATATAATTTAATAATACCAACTGTGTGCCATCAAGTCAATTCGAACTTATGGTAAACTTTTTCTGGGTTATCTAGGTAGAGTACTCCGAAGTGGTTTACCATTCCCTTCTTCTGGGACACCCTGAGACTGCACAGCTTGCCCAAGGCCACACAAATTGGCTTTTCTGGTATGCACAGTGGAGAATTGTTATAGGTAAAAACAATAAAAGTATAAAATAAAAGAACAAATAAATAAGAAAAAAACTGGTGGCATCTTAAAGACTAACTGTTATATTTTTATGTGAGCTTTCAACAACAAGATCACTTTGCCAAACATAATGTGGCACATATTTATATATGACATCAAAATACAGAGATCAAATAAAGAGATCATGGCTGGTTAGCGAGAACGTCAGTGGATGTTTAACACTGTGGTGAAAGTGTCTTTGATATCCAGGTATTCATTGAAGCTTGTGCTATAAAGGGTGTAAAAACCACTCTCCTAAAATAACAATGGTAGAGTAACATGAATGTTAGTTGGACTGTTTTTTCACCAGACTCCATGGCCAGTTACCTCACTGAGTTATCCAACCAGCAAAAGTATTCATAGGAACTAACTATATATTAAAAACTCTATATAATTCTATATAACACTCTCTCTGTCTGTGTCTTCTATATATAGTACCTAACTTAATTTCAAATGCAACCTTCTTCATTGGTGCCAGCGATGCACTTATCCTTGAGTGAAAAGGGGGCTCTTTCTCAAATAAACTATAGAGGTGGCAAGATTTTTATAGTTATGCACATGTTAAGTTACATAGCTGTATTTCTGTACCAGTGTGATAATAAACTATTTTGGAAGCATACATTGAGACCTAAACTAAAAGCAGTAGAGGTGATTTTACACTGCACCAGGGAACTAAAAGTGGAAAATTCAATCTCAGACCTCCTATATCAGAGCTGTTTTGGCCTCAGAGTTATTGTAGAAATAATACGTAAAAATAATCTTCCTTTGATTTTTTTTAAAAATTGATCCATTAAGTCATTTATTTAAAATATTTTTATCCCACCCTTCTCTTTAAAAAGAACTCAAGGTGGCTTAAACCATTTAGACAATGTTTAAAGCTAAAAACAGTAAGTATACCAATACTAGAAAGAGTCAAACACCATGTTACAACATGATAAACAAAAACATATTCAAAGATGTAAGGTACAAAAATCGGTTTAACAACCTCACTCAGGCAGCCAATCACTAAGGGAAAGCTTGCCTGAAGAGAAAGATGTTTGCCTGTTGGATGAAGGGGCAGATGGGACAACGTTTAAAGCTAAAAACAGTAAGTATACCAATACTAGAAAGAGTCAAACACCATGTTACAACATGATAAACAAAAACATATTCAAAGATGTAAGGTACAAAAATCGGTTTAACAACCTCACTCAGGCAGCCAATCACTAAGGGAAAGCTTGCCTGAAGAGAAAGATGTTTGCCTGTTGGATGAAGGGGCAGATGGGGCTTGCCTGGCCTCTTGTGGGAGGGAGTTCCAAAGTCTGGGAGTAGACACAGAGAAGGCCCTCTCCCCTGTCGTCATCAGTTGCAGTTGTGACAGTGGTAGAACCAAGAGAAAGGCGACACCTGATGATCTTAAGGGTGATGCAGTCCTTGAGATAGCTTGGACCCAAGCCATTTAATTTAGAACCAGCACTTTGAAATGTGCCTGGAAATAGAATTATAGAATTAACTAGACAATTTTTTCATTCTACCTTTCAGACTTATTGAGAGTCAGAATATGGTGATAATCATCCTACCAGTGAGCGCCATGTTGAAAGCTACTATGGAACGGAGATGCCATGTTATTTTTCTTTTTCCTTCTTAGGAATAATAAGAGGTTTGCATAACTGAGATCCAGATAACAGAGGTTACAGCGTTCACACACATTAACAGCCACAGAACAACCTCCTCTTGGGCCAAGCTAACACTGACCCAAAAGCCGTCTAACATTTCGGGGTAGCTTGGACCCAAGCATTTAATTTAGAACCAGCACTTTGAAATGTTCCCGGAAATAGAATTATAGAAATAACTAGGCAATTTCTTCATTCTACTTTTCAGACTTATTGAGAGTCAGAATATGGTGATAATCATCCTACCAGTGACCGCCATGTTGAAAGCTACTATGGAACAGAGATAAAATGTTACTTTTCTTTTTCCTTCTTTTTTTACAGATAGTGACAGTTTTCTGATATACAATGAAAACCTTGGACTTTGTCTACACCTTCAACAATCTCGCTCCCTCAACCTGGAGGAATGTAATAAGGATAATGAGTGGCAAAATTTTAAGTGGGTTTCTGATTACCAAATATTGAATATGGCAGTGAAATTGTGCCTGGCAGTACCTTCAAAAGGAAACCAGGTGCCAGTCACTCTCTCTCCTTGTAATGAGACCAGTGGTCTTCAGAAATGGACGTGCAGAAATGAGACCCATCTGGCCCTTACAGAAGAAGAAGAAGAAGATCTGTTTTTACATCCTGCTGATGATCAGAAGGGCAACGTAATAATATCGAAAGCATCCTCCACAAAGAGTACCTGGAAAATCTATGGAACAAGTGATGGCTTGTGTTCAAAGGGATATGAAGGTAAATTTGGAGACTGAGATTGCTCTTTGTTTAGGTTACGTTGTCTCTCAGCTTCAGCAGTGTTGAATTCCCTGCCTTTTCAGACCATGCTCAATCTCATGCTTCAGATCACGTTGGTAAAAAGCTCCAAGCTTGATAGCAAGTTACATCCTGCTGATGATCAGAAGGGCAACGTAATAATATCGAAAGCATCCTCCACAAAGAGTACCTGGAAAATCTATGGAACAAGTGATGGCTTGTGTTCAAAGGGATATGAAGGTAAATTTGGAGACTGAGATTGCTCTTTGTTTAGGTTACGTTGTTTCTCAGCTTCAGCAATGTTGAATTCCCTGCCTTTTCAGATCATGCTCAATCTCATGCTTCAGATCATGTGGGAAAAAAGCCACAAACTTAATAGCAAACAGGGGGCACCCCATTTGCATAGAAAACACAATGTGTGGTATGAGAAATGTACATTTTTCCCCTCTCTATCCCAGTTCTGTCAAAAAATTGCATTCTCAACATTTGCTCTTAGTCCTAACAGGGAACTGCGTCAGAAGCAAACACTAAAAGCCTCACATATTAATTTGAAAGAGAGAGGACATATGTACAACAAACTACACAGGGCTCTGGATTAGGAGCTGTCTGTATCACTTCTCATTTATGCATATTTCATCTGTTCTCATGTCAGGCCTCTTCAGAGTTATTCCCGCCTAATCTACTATTCATTTAATTTCCCCTTTAGCTCTTTTCACTATAGAAGGCAACTCCTTTGGAGCCCCCTGCGTATTCCCATTCAAGTATATGAATCAATGGCATGCCAAATGCATCAGTGATGATGACGAAAATGCACGACTCTGGTGTGGAACGACAGCCGATGTGAATAGAGATTCTTTAACTGGATATTGTCCAGTGAAAGGTAAATTGTTTGGAAAGTTTAAGTAAGTGCTTGCTGCTTGGCTTTTCATATGCATTCCTAAAGTGGAGAACAACTTTTGCACCTTGTTCCTCTTGTCACATGGCTTCCCTTCCACAAATATAACACAATGTAGGACTCATGCTGAGATCTCATAACAGAGCTGATGAGAGTAACAACATGTGTTTAGTCGTTTAGTCGTGTCCGTATGAATCAATGGCATGCCAAATGCATCAGTGATGATGACGAAAATGCACGACTCTGGTGTGGAACGACAGCCGATGTGAATAGAGATTCTTTAACTGGATATTGTCCAGTGAAAGGTAAATTGTTTGGAAAGTTTAAGTAAGTGCTTGATGCTTGGCTTTTCATATGCATTTCTAAAGTGGAGAACAACTTTTGCACCTTGTTCCTCTTGTCACATGGCTTCCCTTCCACAAATATAACACAATGTAGGACTCATGCGGAGATCTCACAACAGAGCTTATGATAGTAACAACATAGATTGCGTTTATACTGCACAACTACAGCCATTTGATCACGGCTTGATCTTATGGGATCTTGGTATCTGTAGTGTGAGGAGGTACTTGGAATTTTCTGGACTAGTTGAGGTTACGTAGACTAGAACTCTCTGGAACAGAATTTAAGTATTTTACCAAACCACAGGCCCCATGATTCTGCATTATGGAGCCACTGCAATTAAAGTGACGCAAAACCTTTACAACTGTGTAGTGTAGATGCACCATGAGTCAGGTCATTCTGTAAGGGATGGCTTCCAGCTGTTCAGGGGTTTAGTAAAAGTGTAAGGTTGACAAGATTTCAGTGGTATAATATTTTGTGCAAATCACTCTTTAAAGGAATGACAATTCACTTTTTTGCTGGAGGAGTCTGGTGGAGCCAGGGACCACACAAAAGGCTGGAGGGCTATACAGTATGTGGCCCCAGTACCAATCTTTTCCCATCCTGTCTCTTAATGTTGTTACATGCTGGCAAGTCATCTCTAACATATGGTGACCCTATGAAAGAGCAAACTCCAAAATCTCGTGTCCTCAACTGTCCTGTTTAGCTCTATGGCTTTTTAAGGGATTCAGTTTATCTTTCTCTTTTCCTGCTGCCTTCAACCTTTCCCAGCATTATTGTCTTAGCCTAAGAATCCTGCTTTTTCATGATGTGCCCAAAGTAAGAGAGCCGCAGTTTGAACATTTTTGCCTTCAGAGATAGTTCAGGCTTGATTTCATCTAAGACCCACTTATTTGTTTTTCTGGCAATCCAGGGTGTCTACAAAGCTGTACTCCAGTACCACATCTCAAACAATTTTTTCCCCTGTCAGCTTTCTTCATTATTCAGCTTTCACACCAAAACATAGTGATATAAAAAAATACTGGAAACATTTTATTTAGTGCTTAAAGCATTGAATCCCAATTAATAAGATCAAAAAAAAAGTTTGCAAATAACTGCAACCAACCAAATGTTAGCCTCTACCTCTGGTTGTCATGGTAACCAACCACTCTGAGAGGAGGATGCAGAATGAGAGTTGAGAAGGCCTTCTCTGAGGGAAAAAAAATAAATGTGTTCAGTGACAAAATCTAGACATGGATAGTAATTATAAGGAAGCTTCTGTGATGTTTAGAGGTTTGTATGTTTTCTAGCGGGTATAAAAAAGTAGGGTGTGAGGTGTGAAAAGCATGGGGTGAGGTCAGTATATGACCCTGGATGCCTCCCCATTGCAAACTCATAAAGAAAGACAGAAAGACATCAAAAATAATGTTATTCCTTAAAGACTTCAGAAATGGTGGCTTTGCAATAAACCAAACTGTGTGCAACCCAGGCAAATGACTGCCCTGATTTCTGCTAAGCATTTCATCCGCATACACAACACCGACAGCTCATGTGACACAAGTGTTTCTAGGTCCAGGGCCACTGCCAGGGTTCATAGGGGTTGATGAAACAATGTGAGGATTTCAACAGAGGGAAACTTTGCTGGTAGAATCAGGCTAACAAACTGAAAGTTCACCTGCAGCGGTCTAAGCGTTCTTTACTTGTGTATTTCTAAGATGCCCACATGTGTTAACGAACAGCTTCCATTGGGGTGGGTGCATTAGTAGGTGCACATGGCTGCGGGCAAAAAGCCTACGCACCAGGCTTTCCCCAGGACATGGGAGTCTGCTGCTTCCTGCTCTAATTCAATATAATAATTAAACAATTCCCTTTGAATGATTGTTCCGTGGTTCATGTGTAGCTGCCTTCGGAAAGTTCAGCCGGTCCAAGGGATGGCAGCTGGGCTCCTGACTGGAGGGAGGAGAGAAATTCCTTGTTCTATCAGCTTCACAATATGCTGCTTCTGGCTTATAAGAACCAAAATGATTTGGGTACAACCTCTCTCAAGGCCCCTATCTTCCTCCATCATTTGTAAGATCCTGAGGAAGGCCTATTCCTCAATCCAACTGCCCTCACAAGCATGCTTGGAGAGAACAGGTGAAGACCAATTCTTTTCAGGCAGGCTTTCCCTCAGTCATTGGCTGCCTGTGTTGGGTTTATGAATGGGTTGTTCTACCTTGTTGTTTTGAATGTGTTTTTTGGTATTGCCTTTGTTTACTGTGTTTTTTTTTATTTTTTTGCTGTGGATTGATCCTTTTTAGTATTTGTATATTTGCTGTTTATGGCTTTAAATATAGTCTTTTAATGATGTAGCCAACCTTGGCTCTTTTTTAACGAGAAGGGAAAAGTAATTTTTAATTACCTCTCTTGGGTGGCTGTAGAGAGGCTGTGGAGCTTCTTTCCATGGGGCACCTTGCCCCCATCCTTATTTTCTTTAGGAGGCAAAAACCTTTCCTTTTAGTCAGGGTTTTAGTAAATAACTACCGGTAGTTGCTATTTTATTTTACATTGTTTTAATATTTGCTTTTTAAATGTTTTGTAAGTCACTGTAAGTTGTGAATGTTTTGTAAGCTTTCACTGGGAGAAATACTGTATAGAGAAAGTAAGTAAGTGAACAAATGCTTTGATTGTGCAGGGTTCCTGATTCTGGAAAACCTACATTTGTTAAGTTTCCACAAGCAGATCTCTATACCTGATGTATAAATATGAACGGCAGATTGTGTGAGTAGAAGACCAATAAATGAAATATGTGCTGACTTTTTGTTTCTTGAGACTGATCTGTGCATTCTTTACAAAAGTGGTACTGTATCTAGAACCAAAAGTAGCTCACCGCTGGAGAGTAATGCTGTCAATTCTTGTAGATGATCATGATGAATTCTTCTGGATCAGAAACCAGTGGACAGGAGATCTCTACCAGATCAATTCCGATTCAGCTCTTACATGGTTCCAAGCAAGAAAAAGTTGTCAGCAACAAAATGCAGAATTATTAAGCATCAAAGAGCTGCATGAACAAACATACCTGACAGGTACAACAGAATATAAATATACCTTTAAAGGAATCAGATATTGGGGACATTTTCTTCATTAATAAATTTAGTTTCCACTGTAGGTAGAGATTACAAGAATGAAATATAAGGAAAATTAAACTGATCATTTGCTATGTCTGCATGGTGTGTGTGTTTGTGTGGAAACTTTATCTGATAAATTTCTCTTTCAAACAAGCCATACATTTCCGAGAGTCATACAAGAGGAAATATTGATAATTCTAATTACATCAGGCTGATATTTTTGTTCAAGGTTTTTTTTAAGCTTCATAACTGCAAAACTCTTACCTGGATAACACAGTCTAAATGGTTTCTTCTCCTCAACAGGATTAACAAGTAGAGTGGACACTGACTACTGGATTGGTCTTAACAGTTTAGATTTGGACAGCGGATGGGAATGGATTAGCAAACATCCGTTAAGATACTTAAACTGGTCACCAGGTGAGCGCACCCTACAATTTAGCGCTGAAAAGTGACACCACTTAATTAAATCAGAAATTCAAATTGTTTGAAGGAATGTAGTGATATTTACAGTACAGTAGGGCCCATATATCTATTGGATATAAGCCACCCTTGGATAAAACTCTGGATATAGCATGGTAAAAAGAAAAAAAAATCAAATGCATTATCAGAATTGCTTATTAGAGGGCGGCAGAGACCAAGCTATGTGTCCTTCAATAACAAGTATTCATAGCCCTGTTTCTTGCTCCATCTAGTGGCTGGTTTTGGTAATATATGTCAAAATAGATTTTCTTTTCATATTTTTAATATTTTCATATGTGAATAAGTAAATCAGTGGATATTGATTCCATGGATAAGGAGATCCTACTACATTTGAAATCTCAGTGAATTCTATCTAGAGGTATTGGTTTTAAAGTAAGGCTTAAGACACCTTTAAGAAGAACACTTTTGTAATTGTTAAATGTAATTTAACTGATGCTTCTTATATTACTGTGATGTTTCACGTACCAAACATAATATGTTATAATATTATGAATATGAATATATGTGAATACACACAGAGACATGCACACACACATCTGTATTTATTCTGATTTCATCATGCATTGTTTAGGAGATCTTCATGAGAAGAGAAGTGGTAACACATGCTGTTAGTAAATCACCACATAAGTAAATACAAATGCTTTTTAATAAGTGTGTGTGTGTGTGTGTGTGTGTGTGTTTGAATCTGCTCTTTCTTAGCTTGCAGTTCTTTCCATTTTTCAGAGGCATTATACTGTCTGTTCTTCAGTCACAGGGTTGCACCGGTGGAGAAATACACATTCACAATTTTGGTAGCCCGAGATACCAATTATCCAGTTCTTACATTAACATACATGATATACAGGTAAAATGTAACAGCCACGTAACATGTAATTCTGTCCACATAGTGACCAAGTTAGTTACACTAGCTGGGGATTTTCCACTGTCAGGTAGAGAGCAGCTCATCTACATACTAACCCCACCTGGTCCTGCTTCGCTAGGTGATACAGTTTCATCCTGAAACAGAACTGAAGAACAAGAAGGAAAAACAATCCTGGCTTATTTTATGTTGAAACATTAGCCAAACATGTCTTTCCATTTTGTTTTTTAAAGGTAGCCCATCTTTGGAAACAGCTAAAAGCTGTGGATCAATGCATTCTACGAACGGCAGATGGAGGAATAATTTGTGTGACCAGAAGTTTGGGTACATTTGCAAAAAAGAAAACTCTTCACTAGATGAGCCTGTTATTCCCACAGGTTGGAGCATTATATGAAATAATGATATCCTGGAATGATGTTTACCAATATATAAACTTTATATCACATTAAAAGAATATTGTTATATGTTTCATCCACTCACTTCCAATTTAATGGTAATCCTATAATTGATGACTTTCAGAAGGTCTTATCATTGACAGCCCTGCTCAGGTCTTGCAAAGTCAAGGCGGAAATTTACTTTGAGTCAATCCACATCATAAAAGCTTTCCCTAGCATTCTTGTCTTCTCCAGTGAAGCTTGTCTTCTCATGATATATCTGAAATGTGGTAGCTTCACTTTAGTCATGTTAAGGAGGGTTCCAATATACAGAACTGACATGTGTGTGTGTGTGTGTGTGTGTGTGTGTGTGTACACATATATACATTTATATACATATACATATACAAATATATAAACATATATACATACACACACACTCACACACACACATGTATGTAGATATACATATGTCAGTTCTGATATTATGAGCAGTATGCACAATTGAAGTAACTTTGGCAATACCTGGGGGGACGTGGTGGCGCAGTGGGCCAAACCGCAGAAGCCTGTGCTGCAGGGTCAGAAGACCAAGCAGTCGTAAGATCGAATCCACGTGACAGAGTGAGCTCCCGTTGCTTGTCCCAGCTCCTGCCTTTACCTTTACCTTGGCAATACCTGAGATATCTTGTCTGAGCATATCTTGCCAATGGCAGAACTACTTAAATAATTCCTTATAGTGCCTGCCAGTATAGAACTCAACCCCTATCTCTCTCATGTCACTACAAGCTTTCATAAGCTTCCATGATCTGCATTTAAGACTGCAGTCCTGCAAAAACAGCGTACAGGGTGTATTTGTATTTCTCCCCCTTGCTAAATAAGGTATTAGGACTGCAGTCAATTTCTTTTTCAGAAATAAACAGCAGTGAGTTCCAGTGGACATTTGGAAGAAAACAGTCTTCTTCATCAGAGAATGGTAGCCTTGTAAATCAGACAGACAGACAGACAGACAGATAGATGGATAGATGGATAGATGGATAGATGGATAGATGGATAGATGGATAGATGGATAGATGGATAGATGGATAGATGGATAGATGGATAGATGGATAGATGGATAGATGGATAGATGGATAGATGGATAGATGGATAGATGGATAGATGGATAGATGGATAGATGGATAGATGGATAGATGGATAGATGGATAGATGGATAGATGGATAGATGGATAGATGGATAGATGGATAGATGGATAGATGGATAGATGGATAGATGGATAGATGGATAGATGGATAGATGGATAGATGGATAGATGGATAGATGGATAGATGGATAGATGGATAGATGGATAGATGGATAGATGGATAGATGGATAGATGGATAGATGGATAGATGGATAGATGGATAGATGGATAGATGGATAGATGGATAGATGGATAGATGGATAGATGGATAGATGGATAGATGGATAGATGGATAGATGGATAGATGGATAGATGGATAGATGGATAGATGGATAGATGGATAGAT